AGACTCTTGAGAAGACAAGGAGTCCAATTTGAATCCCCACGCTGAAGCAATGAAACGCCATGGGCCAGAAATCTGCCAAATGGGAGCATATACTCCTATACATCCCGAAAAATCAACTAAGAGGCGCAATCCCATTGGGAGTGCATTTAAACCGCTCTAAACACCTTCGCTGATTCTTAGAACACAGAGAAAAAGTAATAGCGATTGATTTATGCAATTTCATGATTATGGTTCATCACAGCCGAAGTGGTGCTTCGCTGCAAAGCCCTGAAGCGCACAGCGGAGCGCCCGGAATATCATATTTTAAAGTGCTTCATAATAAGCAAAACTGAGGATGCGGACTAAAAAATGGCAGCAGAAATGGCATAAGTAAAAAAGGCGTGGTCACATATGGCCTACTTCACCTCAAGCTCCAACGACTTGATCATTTTCTGTTCCAGATGTTCAGATGCAATATGAAGCTTCTGTATGCCTTGTACACTTCTTTCGACATTTTCTTCAAGCATTTTCTGCTGATCCTCGAGTGCCTGCAGCTTTCCATTCATTTCCTGAATGCCCTCCAGTTGATCACCAATCTTGTTTTCAATGTGTTCCATTTTCTCTGCGGCTTGGTAAGTGCTCTGAAAGAGCTGCCGTATGAGGTCCTCCGACTGGCTCTGAAAGTTCTGGTTCTGCAAAAACACGCACATGCTGAACAGCCACAAAAGTGAGCGTAATGCGCGTCTCAATATGCAATTTGCACTGTCGGATATCAAAACTTCCAGTCCGGAGGTGCTTCCTATCTGTGTAGTTGGGAACCAGTTCCTATCTGCCCTGTTATTGCTCTGCAGTAACTTTCAGTTCTGCTTCCCCAAGGGCACTTAAAGCACGAGTGAGAGACCTCGAAATAAGGTCATGGGGCGAAAGATCTTGACGCTACCCCATGGCTGTGTTCTCATTCCGTTCCCCTTGGCAGGCATACTTTCATGACCTTCAAAGTGGCAAAGCACAAGAAAGCTGCAGAAATGTGCGCCAGTAAAGCCAATATGGTAATAAGTATATATAAATATATATGGGAGAACATGGGAATGTCCATGAGACAGAAAGAAAATATCATGACTCAATGCAACTTCATGGGACACTAGCCAGTGGAGATTCATGAGAAGCTTGAGTTCCAGAATTCTAACGAGGCTGAATTGGCAACTGGAAGGCTGGCTATTTTCGCCGACGTCATTCACCAGTAGAAAACAGCCTGTTTGCGATGCCAATTGCGACGCCGTTTGACACAAATTGATGCCATCGCAGCAGCTTTTCTGCCATCTCAATCACTGTGACGGCATCACTTTGTGTCAAAATAGCATCGCAGTTGGCATCGCAGACATGCCAGCTTCTACCAGTGATTGGACACCACCCTGTTTCCGGTCACTTGGACACAGAACCCAAGGGGCATCACACACTTTCACGCTCCCATGAGAGACTTTCTAAAAGGAGAAAGATACTAACTGCCACATAGAGCCGCATTTACGTCACGGGACGTAATAGCTGCACATGGTTTGATCATCAGTACCACATGATAGATGGTATAAGCCAAAGTGCGTGCACATGTTTTACAAATCTGTGCAAAATATCGGGCTCATCATGCGGTATTTGTGGCTGCCGTGCCAAGTCAGGAAGACAGACTTCCTGGCTGTCAGAAACGATCCCGCCTTCCCCCCACCTGTAGATGTTGGTGTAGAACTGAAGGTAAGTCGCCAGCCCTTTGGCGTCCATTTGCGAGGTGCACTTCATTATTGGTGTCTCAGGATGGCATTGGTACGTTCTCTGGCCGGATTTTGCAAGGAAGCAGTTCGCGAGCGCCACAGCCAGCCTGGACTGCTGCTCCTCTGACAGCCGGCGGCATTCCAATCCCAGTTTTTTCAACGACTGCGTGTAGCAGTCGGTCCCGAACACTCTGCTGAGGAAGCCCTCCGACGAAGCGCGCTCCTTAACGTGGTTGTACTGGTCTGTGCGCCGAAACCAGATCCAACTTCGAACGAAGATCACATGTTTCTTTTGTCCGTTGGTCACGTTCCTATTGCGAAAGAATGCAGATCTGGCGGAAGGTGGGTATCTTTGAAATCTTCTGTATGTTTAGCTTGTTGATTTTGACAACCGTCCAGCATAGTGCTGTGAACAACATCCTTCGGCGAACTACATTGCCAGACTCTCCAGTGAGGAAACATTATGTACAGGCCCCAATGCTGTGGACTTGTACACCACACCTGCCCCCTGCTGCACGACGTCCACAGGAAACGACTCGAAATGCGGCGCCTCCTGCGCCCCCGTGCTTCCCCAACCGGCAGCAGCCAGCCACAGGACGCAGGCGCAGGCCGCAGCAAGGCCGGCACGGCGTCGCTTCATCCCGTCCCCCAAGTCGATCAATCAGGGAACTCAGAAGCAGGAGGCGCTCGCTGCATTCAGCGCTCCGCGACTGAGGCCGTTGTTTTGCGCGATTCTCCGAAGGCGCCGCAGCAAGGGGGCCCTGTGACCGCCAGCGTTGGCGCGAAATGCTTTTTGGCGCATTCGCGAGGCCCGCCGCGCCTGAGGGTATGCCTATAGCGGGAAAGTCTGGGCACCGTCGAACGTGGTTTAGTAACGGGCGGTGGCGATGCAGTCAGCGCAATCTTCTTGGACCGTGCTGAGCTGATGTTTTCAGTGGGCCGGCTGTCACTGGGCGTACGCGTAGGATCCCTGCCGGCCTGCTGCCTCTCGGGGAAGCTGCAAGGCGATGGTTCCCACATCCAGGGGAGTGCTATTCGGCTCCAAAAATATCCTGGGATATTTTTGGAGCGGAGCAGCGGGTCGCGCAGCTTCGTTAGTCAACACATATGTTTCAACGATAGCAGTGCGCCATTTTCCCTATCTATACCTTGGAAAAAGTGCGCACTCTGTGTAGCTGTTGTGAAGCCTGTGGCTCGCGGTTTCTCGGTAACTTGCTTTCTACAGCTATGGAAAGGGGAATGTGGATTGCAATCCACACCATCTCAATTGAGATGGTGAAACCGATCCCGAGGAAGGCGTTGGGCGAAGGCCTTCCCCTTCCCCTTCAACGCTACAACGCATGGTGCATCGAATGTGATGTTTTCGTCGTCCACCTTCTGTATGCGTTGCAGGCGGGTGGCGAGCTGGGGAAATGAAGGGGTGAAGCCGAAGAATGTAAGCCGGAGAGTAGTTACAGTCGTCGCTGCATTTCATGCATATGCGTAGTTCAAGAATGGACAAAAGCGTGACATCTTTTCTGGGACGAACAGTCTTCCTGAAGGTTCTTGCGATGGAACGCTGTTGAGCTCGACACACAAGATTTAGTCATGTGGTCCTTTGATCAAGTAATATCATGGAGAGAGTTGCGGGCTCCTGATGCTGTTCTCAGGTCCTCTGATCGCATAGCTTTGGCAATGTTTGATTTTCAACGATTCGCAGACTTGAAAATTTGCAGTTTGATCCTCTATACATGGTAAATCCTCAGCAGCACTTTGAATGGTCGACAGTGTAATGTTTGATTGGCCGACTGGATTTGGGACAGCACATCGTCCTTTTGTCTATCTGCGTCGTTTTGGCGCTGGCGGAGTGTCCACATAATTGAGGGCTGTCCTGACTTCCGTGCGAAGGCACATACATTGCTTCGGCTGTGCCTTTGCAATGGGATAGCACGTCACTGTATTATGCGTCAATGGTCATTGACATCCATCATTTAGGGTTAACGGGGCTCCTTTGGTCATTCTCTTGACCACATCTTGTTGGACAATCTGTTTTCATGGGCACAATTATTCACTACGGCATGCAGCCGATGCACTGGAAATGGAACCGGCAGAGTATTGGGCTACAGGACTGCCGGCGGAGCTGCATGTGGCACAAGATATTGGCGGGTGCACAAATCGCGTGTTGGCGAGCACGCGCCTCCTGATGATGCACAATTCCTATATGAGTATACTTACATTGTAATAATGCTGTGCATAATGCCATGCAATTCACCCGCCATTGCATGTGACCTCTTCTCCATTTCTTTATTGCTATCGTTGCGCATTTCATCGCCCTTTTGTCGGCGGCTGTTGGGGCGTGATGGCCACAGTTAGGGGACAGTCCTGCCTAAGGCTTTCATAAAAATTGTCCCCATTCTGGCACTTGTGAGGTCAATTGTTGTTGAGAAAGCACAAACGATACACATTTGAATTCGCATATTACAATTTGTTACACCGTGCCACACATTCCACTCCTCCCGCCCCATAATTGCTGAAACCTACTAAACTTCACACTTCCTCGCGCTCAGTCCTAGTGTCCAAGCCAAACCGCAATCCCACGACACAAGTCTTCCTGTCGCGGGCCACCCGAAATTCGACCATCTGGCGTCATTTATACAACACTACCTCGAGCATTTCAGGGGACGCACGGGCGCCACAGTTCAGTTTTCCATGCCACGCCGTCACGACACTGTCAAGGGCCGAACACAAGCCAGTGTTGTAGCAAGCATGCGAAATGATATCATGCCGTAGATCGTATTTGCACTTCACCGCGGCTGCAGAAAAGTGCGGGCAAAGGAGCCGCCACAAAAAGAATTCAGGGATCCTGCTGCATGGAATGTTCGTGCCCGGCAAAGCGTACACCGCAGCACAAGCAACGCCATTGAATTCTGATGGCAATCGCCCAGGCAAGCAGGCCTATTAAAGAGTACAGACAAAGGCTGTGTGTGGGCCCCGCAATGCAAACAAACGCGCATGGCCCCATTGCCTCAATAAACGATTGTACTCTCCAGCTATCAGCCATCAGTTACTTAGCTGTCCTGGTCGACGCCATCCCAACCCTAAGTAGCACAGCTCTGTGGTGTTTGGCGTCACTTGAAGGCTTGCAAAGACTTGGCGTTGCCTTCTTCGATCGCCCGCTCACCAAGCAGCAATGTTTCCTTCACCCGATGTGATCCACTAATGCACGCGGCACGTCCCCGGCCACTCACCAATGCCCGCCGGTCGCCAGCAAATGAGCGCACGTTAATGAGAATGGTGTTCCCTGAGCCTCAAAGGCTTTCCCGCTTCCAGAACCTCCGAAAATACCCTTGACGTCTGCCTCAGGGCCGGCACGTGGCCCACCAGGACGAGGTGATGCCTGGCGCGAGTCAGCGCCACGTTCAGCCGCCTGTTGTCGGAGCAGAAGGGCCCGGGAGAGGTGACGCTGGTCGTCAAAATGATGACGTCTTTCTCCATCCCCTGAGGCGGCCGAGGCAACAGGACGCGCGTGAGCCGTCGCAGCCGCCGGTGAAAACTCGCATCAGAAACAAGGCAACGGTTGCACAACTTCATTCTTGGACGACGCGTGGTGCGTTGGCAATGCATGTCTTTTGACAGGACAAGTTTTGAGAAGACAGAAGGCGCACGAAATGCACAATATGTTGCCGGTGCAAGCCATTTCGAGACGTCCAAGGTGTGTGCAAGTTTTGAAATGTGTGGTGGGCATGCGACTCCACAAACAAGCGAGGCGCAACGCACTACATTGCCTCGTGACGCGCACCAGGGGGCACTTTGGGTAGACCGGCGGCGCTCCCAAACCAACACAAGCGCTCGGGACGACTGCCCGACATTTGCCCCTTTGGCGCAAGGGTTTTACTTTGTCAAGCGACAGATGTCATCAGGAGAAGGACCAACACACGCGCGCGCGCAATGATGACCTTAGCACATTCCGCACATGGAATCTCGCTGGTCATCGGCCCAAAGGCGCAGGGTCGCCACGTTCGACGAATGGAGCCAAAGGACACACAGACCATGGGGGCACCTGTGCCGGAACAATTGCTCGACATCGCAAGTTTGGTGCAAGGGCTTCTGCTTTTAGGTGGGACAAATGTGCTCAAAGCGAGGCTAAAAGGCGGCAACACCATGTCAACGCATTGATGGCGATCGAATCAGCATCACAACATCAAAGCGACGATTTGTCCCTCAGCACCTACTGGATTCGCAGAGGAGTTCTCTAGATCCCGCCTTCGATTGCTAGGGAGCCAACAACGAGGTAGTGAGCCAAGGCTAGTGTACATTTGGTTCAATAAAATTCGGTACCGCTCATGAAAATTCACACCTGGAAAGAGTCGACGGTGGCCACCTGGATGTCGAAGCCACTGTGCTGGCCGGCTTCGGGCTGGTGGCCACCACTGGACTTTGCAAGCAGATCTTGGATCAGTGCAACCTGCGGCAGTCGGCGAGTTCGCATTAAGCGACACCGTATTTGACCATCAGCGAAAACCGTACTTGACGATTTTCAGCATTTAAATAGAATTAAAGCGTAGAATCACATCGTGCATTTTGCACAACACAATTCCGTGATTAGAGCCTTCAAGCTTCCTGCAAAATGTTTAATCCCTGACAGGTTTTTGATTTTTGAAAAAAAGGGAGGAGGGTGCACTTGTGCGACAGTGTTGTTCTCGCCGTTCAACAGTAACGGCTCCTTGCCAAAACCGTTGAGATTCCATGAGGCGCACAGTGCAGGCCCATGCCTATGCACGCGCGGGAACAACAACCCTTCCAGTACAGCACTGTCCTAGACGACAGAACACTGCATCTGACCGCAATCCTAGCAGATGTGCTAACACAATCGCTCAGGTACAATCAACAGAGTGTTTCCGCCAATTGCCACAGCGCCAATATCCCATTGTCCGACAACGCTGCAGTGCTGAGGGGGTCACCGGCCTGTCAGGAGTAAGCAAATGGGGGTCACCTGAGCTCTGAAGAAGCAAATGACTCCGCAGGCAGCAGCTTCAACGCCCGCCTCCCCCAAGCGCCGAAGAATTTGAAGGACGCATTCCGCCTGCGCCCGCAACCACGGAAGTTTCTTGCAATCGACAGCCACTTCGCCGTTTCCAATGCTCTTGCGATTCTCGGTGCAGTTCAGTTCACAAATACTTTCTTCCCTCGGCCCAAGTGGGTGGATTTCTGGTGCTTGTACCGAGAAAATGCTGGGTCATATATGACGTCAAACAGCAGCACACAACAAGTAAGACAGCCGTGAGACGAGTGACGAAAACGCAACGGAGCCATCAAGACAGTCATCCAGCGACACGAACAGGGCTGAACACCCTTGGGACCAAATGGACACCAGGCTCAACACTTTAATTTCCAAATATTCCTAACCGGCACTGAGCGACCGGGCTTTGTACCCAGATTGCCCAGCCGATGCTCATGACAAAAGGCCATTAATCAATTTCAAATACATCTCGTAATGATAATTTCCTGACCTCTTGCCCGTTAGCCGAGCTGCCGCCGCCCTGCGCCCTGCGAGCCGTTCCCCGCACGTCGCAAAAGCTGATGGGGGGCCATCCCTCCACCAGCGGCGGCCGCTCCTCCGCGGAGCATCCGTTCAGAAGCCGCCCGTCGTAAAACAGGCGGTTGGGGATGTCCGCGAGGGCGGGGTGGCACCTTCGCAGGCGAGTGAAGTCGATTCACCACATTGGATGACTGACGCTGGCTGTTTGCTGCCATATGTAATTTCTTGTTCCTTGCTATGCAATTGATCTGTTATAAGTCCAATTTGCTTCCACAAATTTTTTGTTATCATGCTTGCAATACATTTGTCGATTCAAACACTCTCGGGCACTGGACAGCCTGGTATTTCATTGTGCTTTTAAATTTTACATCGTAAACGTATATAATGTACAGAGATTACTGTAAACTAAAGTACGTCCAGGTATGCACTATAATTTAGACTACGTCATGGGCACAAACAATGCCTCTGCCCCAGTACTGTACCATAATTCCTCCTGAGACGAGCGCGTTACCAGTGCCTAGGTCAAACAGGTAGTACCGCATATTCACAGGACTTTGCGTTGTGATCTGCCCCACCACTGATGGTGAGCTCAAGAAGATGCTGAAGACAAATTAATTCAGTATTACGGAAGTTGATATAATCGTGGTGTCTGTCTTTGCCCTCCTCATTATCCGATAAAATTCAAACATTGAGAGACAGGAAATCCAGCAAGCAAGCAGACAAGAATGTCTGAGCAGCTTCACGCTTCAGTCAAACTGATATGCGAGGGAGTTGCTCCCAAGATGCTGCGTCAGATATAATGCATTGAGCACTATTCTGGGAAAGTGATAAAAAGCTAAGAAATTGTGCAGTTTTTAGTACCATTTTTTTAAGAACGGTTGTCGTTGCCGGCAGCAATGCTGGTGGACACTTGCGGCGCCAGTGTACCATGGCTTCACAACGAGAATAAAGCATTTTCAACACGTCTCCCAAAGTCTAAATCGTGTCTCTAACCACTTAGTTGCCAAATCCACTGACTTGGTTGTAGCTTGCAAAATGGACACAGGGAACGTGCCCCTCTTTCAAACTCTCACCTGTATTGCCTTCTCAGCATGAAGGGCTTGTGCCCCATGTCGACCAGCCTGCTGAACAGGGGTCGGGCGAGGCTGTGAAGGGGGCCCTGCTGGGAAGCGCCTGTCGCTCTGACGTCCACAGGAGCAGTGACGACGGGAGGCAGCTGGCATGGGTCACCGGCAGCGACGAGGAAGCTGGGGCAATGGCGTCAGCAGTTGGTGAGAAAACATCAGCAAACAGAATCAGAGAACAGCAGCAAACCATCGGCGGCAGCATGGCGCGGGACATTATTGAGGCGTGCATCAGTCTTCGAGGCACTGTTTGGAGCTATTATGTGGTGTGCTGAGGCGGATCAAGGTTTACATGTAGACACAGACGTCTTCACAATTCATTTAGATAACTTGAACACAATTTGGGTAGAACATGCTGTAATCCTGTAATGAAACACTGGAGTGGTTCAGTGAGAAAACAAAACATGGAGAAAACGGAAAGTCAAAATAGAAGAAACGACACGTGCGTGGTGATGTCATCATCGTTCTTAGTACGAACGGGATGCACCACCGCAAAGACATTCCTACTGGGCATCTTGTCCTGCCGTCCGCTTGTGCACCTGGCCCCTGCCCTGACGAGGGGCAGGATGCTGTTGGGCTCCGTCATCTGCGTGGCTTCATCGAGGATGACGACATCGAACCTGTTGCCTTCCAGCATTGGGTGCATCACCGATGCACATGTTACGCCAACGACGGGCGCGGCCCGAAGGCGCCGCACTCGTTTTTGCTGCGCCCCGCTCTCCGCCTCTGCGAGCTCCCTCCTGTGCGGGTTGCAAAGCGATGGACAGTCGTCGAGTTTGGTAGAGCTCATTTTGAAATGTTTAGAATAGAGGAATGCGCGGATTGTGCACAGGGAAGAAAGAAATATATAGAAAGGCGACTACAGTAATGAAAAACAAACAATAAATAGACAAACGAATTATTTAATTAATCGGTCAGTTATTTACCAAATAAGGACAGAATTTCATAAATAAATAAACTCATCTATCCATTATGCATAAATACGTCACATGCACTGATGAATTTATGTTTCACTTATTCGCGCAATTGTGCCTGTATCTTTGCATTTACATTTATGTTGTATTTATCTGCGCATACTCAAGGCAGACCAGTCCAACACATACTACTTTGGACACCCGATGCGAGGTCTGTAGGTCGGCAAATGCCAGGCTTCCGACACTCCCCATCCGTGCGCCCCACCTAACTATCTCCTCCGCCTCCCTGCTGGTCGCCTCCCTCAGCATCTTCCTCAGCTCCGCCACCGCGCCATCCCCTGCCGCCCCGCCATCACCGCAGTGGATCGAGTGCCGCAGCACGGGCTTAGCGATGCGAGAGACGCACCCCACCCGCACGAAGTCCGAGAAGCCACGGGCCAGCAGGCCCAGCAGGATCCGATCGACGGCCACGTTGGTGTGCGCGGCCACCAGCACGCGGGGCCGTGCCCAGTGTAACGACGGAACAGCATTTCCTTTTCCCTCCCTATTCTCTTTTCTTTTTTCTTTTCCCTTTCCCTTTTCTTCTTCTTCTCCTTCTCCCTTTTCTTTTTCTTTTCTTTCTCCCTTTTCTTTTCCATTTCCAGTTTCTTTTTCAGAATTTTTTTCCATTCCCTTTTCTTCTTCTTTTTCTATTTCTATTTCCTTTTCTGCTCCAATTTCTTTCTCCTTTTCCTGTTTCTGCTTGGATGCCCGTGGACCCGTCCGGCTTTCCGGTTTCCGTGTCTGCCCAGCCGTTTGGTCGCAAAAGGGCCGATGCGATGGGGACACGAACAGGTGGATGAGGGAGACCAGAAGGGTGCTCTTGCCGGAGCCGAACGGCCCGTGGACGAGGCAGATCCGGGACGCTGGCCTGGCGCTGTTGCGACCAAAGACCCACGTTGATGCCAGTTTGACGACCTCAGCTTGGTCAGGGTTCAGATTGAAGTCTTGGACTATTGCTGGCCATGCGCCTGGGGTGCATTCGGCGATTCCCTTTCCGCACTGAGCCGACCTGCAGCAGCATTTCTCTTCCTCAGTGCGTCGAAGTATCAATTTTGTGCAATATATTTTAAGCCGCTCAGTCGGTTCATGCTATTTTACAGTGTTAAGGAATTCAGGTGTGTCCCTGTTTTGGCAAACAAAATGGTTCTTCTCTGCCAGCGTACAATTTTCTGTTCGTTCCAAATTCTTTGTCGCATTTGAGAGCTCAGGTGCGCCGCCAGTCCCAGTACAAGAAAGAAGGGGCCTTGTATCAACTTCACAAGACATGCGCATGGCATACATGGTCGAATTAGGCCCCAAAAATGAACAGTTGTGAGAGTGCAAGAAAAAAGTGATGATGTAGAGGGCCTGTGGCAACATGCACGCTGTGGATTTGAAAGTGTTGAATAGGCTTCCATTGCTGGAAAACTTGCAACACTTAGGGGCAAATGCTGCATTGGATGGATTCTTCCTCGATGGCGTTCAGGTGACAGGACAGTAGGTTTTCAAATACACTGAGTTTAGTCCAAGGTTTGGCACGCAGTGCAAAGATGGCAGGGAAGTTGACAAACGCTGCAATAGCAACCAATCAGTCTGCACCTGTTCAACAGGCTCCCCATGACTGGCATGGTCCGCATCATGGCCCGGCATAGGGCCCCTAGGCACTCCAATGTGCACAGCTCACCAGCTGCCTCCTGGCCATGCAGTGCGGCCACCGTTTGGCTCTTTTTCAGATCTGTGGGACGCCTGGACATAAATTCGACCTGTGAAAATCACAATGATGGTCATCATACATACATGACAGTGCGCTGGCCTTCGTGCATGTGGCCAAAACGGGTCCACAAGCATGGGTGCGGTGCCCCAACACGTCTTTGCTCCAGTTGCACCCAAAGTGGGCACACTTGATGCAGGACGCAACAGCCACCATCGTGATTCCTCACTGACTACATTCGTAATGGTATTCATCGATGCAGCAAATCACACTCGTTTCAGCCATAATGCAATCTGATGTGCTGTTCGCAACTATGAGGTTGGGTCTCGAAGCCTTCCGCCCCAGTTACAACGCCCCCACCTGCATCTTGCCCTCTTTGTTGGGCCCATGCCAGAGGCTGCGGCAAATGGCCACCCATGGAGTGCTGGGGCCCGCAGAAGCAGCTTGTTCTGGACAGGCTTCAAAATGTGGGTCAGGGCTGATCACCCACATATCACTCTTCCTGTACAGTACGTGAGCACCGGGTTAATCTTAGTGCAGCGATTCGTCTCGCTTCTGAAAAGGAATTGAGGACTTGCACATGCCAACAAACTTCAATTGGCATTTTTGATGTGAAGCTGCATGCTGTGAAGGGCCACTGGAAGGCAAGCAAGTGCCATTTTATGTGCAAGTTTGCAAGCTTCAGCAAGTACAGGACACAATACAAACTGAGACAAATTTGCACAACATAGGAAGCGTGGTAGCAGAGAAGGCTTAAAGTTTTGCCTGTCCTATATTGTACTCGGTTTCATGACTTCCCTGCCCACCATTGGGGCCCCCTGAGTGCAAGTTTTCTTCATATTCCGTAGCCCTGTGCTGTTTGCCCTTCATGTCCACAAGAAATCATCCTCAGAGTCAGCTTGCACAGAATGGACAGGAGGCCTAACAAAAGTTGTCACCCAAGAGGGTATGCCCAGTGTATCGCATGTGCCCGCTGCGTCCACGACAGCCCCTTGAGGCCATTGTTTCCAGCTGGAATCTGCTGCATTCTCAGTATCGTTCCCAAAGAAACCACTGTGGCAGAACTGCCATGACTCCCCTCACTCCCTGTAACAATGCATGTGATTTTTTGTTCTCATCTTCAATGCCAAAAACAAGGCAACAAACGCAAGAAACATTGACTCTCTTCTCACCTATAGTTGAGCTTGCGATCGTGGCCATTGAGAGTAAGAAAGAGCTTCTCCTCCTGTTGGCCATCATCACCTTCCTCTGCCTGTGGAGAACCGTCCCTGCTGCGCTTTGTGAACGGCTTCCACTTCTTCTTTTGAAAAGGGCAGCACACAGCTAGCGTGCTATTGGCGATGTAACCGATACCCCGTTGGCACATGGCGTTCCCCAACTTTAGTGCAGCTTGATGACTAAGCGCCTTGCCCTTCATGCATGGTACCTGGAAACGACCCAAACCAAGAAGAAGAATTGTGAAGAGCTGGGTGATGATGACCTTGGCCATCGCACAGGAGGCGCCCAGATCTGTGTTTTTAGTTTTGCTGTTGGGCTGGAAGACTTCTGCATATATATCTCAAGCTTATCTCGAGCATATCTCGAGCAAAATAAATGGTCTGGGAGATCTTGCTCCAAAAGATGGTCGCCAGCATGCAACAAATTCTCCTTTGTTAAAGGGATCAATGTTCAGAATTGGTGAAGAGCCCCAAGGATTTCAGTAACGTGTAAGAATGGTATAGCAACATCAATATACAAAGCCAAATAGTTTCTTCCACAGTACAATGAAGAATGTAGCAGGCAATTAAGTTTATCCCCATCCTTGAATCTGCAGCAGAGTTCCAAAGTAGACATAATCAAAACTTTTGCATTTTGTCACCCTAAATATGTGAATCAGGTTTTGGAGTTCATGCCATTCAACACTGGCACAATGTGCTAACTTGCAGCACATCGAACAACCTAGCATGTAATGGCCCACATGAGGATAATTTGCATGGATAGCCAGAGACAACTTTATCCCAAAATTTGTGAAGCACAAAATGGAAGCCAATGCAGCATTTTGCAGTACAGCATCCCATAGCAAGTTGTAGTTTACAACCATTTGTACAGTGTCATCACCTGATCCAAGGCAGCATAGAATCGCCTTGCAACTGCCGCCAGCTTGAGGCTGAGCTCCTCTGCGAGGGCCTGTCGCCAGCAACCCACATATGCCTCTATCCCATTGAACTCAGTCGGCACTGTCACACAGCGCTGCAGAGGGCCGTCAGTGCGCCCCGCAAAATGCACCTCTGGCACTGCAGCAGTTGCAGCTTTCGCCTGACTGGCTGACAGAGGCCCAGTGCCAGCAGCAGCCCTTGTTTTAAATATGCCCCCTGTAGCTTTCTTGTCAACTACTGCTGGAAGCTTGCCCACCATTGCTTCTGACTGCGGCCTTGCAAATGCATCCGGATGCTTCCTGGCAGCTGTTCCATCCGTACAAAGTGAATCATGGTCGGTTTTTCTTCGCAAAGGAAGGACGAACCCCTTTCTCAATGGGCGTGCCAAGTGCTTTTCTTTTTTTGTGTCAGCAGCATCCCTCCAGGCGCTTTCTGAAAATTTGGACACAAGGGGGTCCATTGATGCAGGGGGGGCTTTGGCAGCTGCAGCCTCGTGCTGGTTTGGGATATCGATTATTTCCACACTGGGGTAAGCGCAATTGCTGGAAATTCGAACATCTGCCATCTCAACCCCAGCAACTTCATCGTGGTGGAGATCACTAACTGCCGCTGCCACTGCAGATTCAAGATTGCTGTTGTTCTCACCACATTGCAATGATTCCAATGGCGATTGGATTGCAGATGTGGAACAATGGGCCGCAGATTCTGCACGCTGGAGTGTAGTCAGAGCTGGTTGCTGAGCCCTAGGGCCCTGACTGGGATGCGCACCTGTACTGAGGCACACAAAAACCATGGGCACCCTTACTCCGGTTTGCTTAATGATCTCACAGTGCACTGTGGTCCACACAAGCAGCAGAAAGTTGGCACACACATTCGGGCACATAACATGAAAGATCAATGCGGTACACACTTGGCTAGTGTACTAACGGACTAATCCAGCAATCGCGGAATGGACATTTAATGTTCAGTGTACCATGCACACAAGTGCTATGCACATGTACAATGAACTACAGTGCACTCAATATCACGGTGCAATGTCCATTGGAGTGATTCAGTTGCGAGTTCCTGCTAATGTCACAAGACATTTGTGTTGTTTAATGGAGAATGGCAAGTCGATTCAATTGCCAGAGGCAATGTCCAGCCCAATACATGAAAACGCAGCAATAGCAAGGAACTGGACAATGGCTGGTAATTCCTGTTTCACACTTTTGGTAACTTCAATAGCAGCAAGTCACCCTGTGCCTTGCCTTTGGGCAATGGAGCATTCAAGCAGGGGGCTGATTCTTACTTACCCTGGCACGAAGGCTGGAAAGGGGCCTCAACATTCTGTTCCCCATTATTCAGAGCTGGGCCTACATTTTCAGATATTGGAAGTCCAGCCATGCTCAAACCCTGGGAGAATGTTAAGCGCGGGCGCTTGAACCTTGGCACAGCTGGCTTCAGAAGATGTTGACGAGCTTTTGGAGACTCTGGGACTGTAGGAAGGTTGGCATCCTGGTCAGGAAAGTGCACGGCAACTGAAAATCTGCAGCAGTGAATTGAATGGACGCTTGTAACAAACATCGCAATTAGAACAAAACTACATCACACCCCTCAATTTGGCCCATGTTGCACACGTACAGACACAGTGCGTGCTGGAGTCGTGGCTGTTGCTTGGCTGCCCTTTCAGCCATTTGGGATCCCAAAGCCCCTGACAGAAACAATATGGAAGGGAAATTGCACAGTTTTTTGGGAATGAACAATCGCTTCCCAAAGAAAATGTGCCTGAAGATGGCTGGCCACAGAGACATGCCTTTGCAACTGGGAAAGCTGCAACTTTTATTCGCAATGTGTCCAACAAATGGGATTAGCATGGTAGAATGCAAAAAAGTTTTGTGGCCTTCCAATCCGGGTATTCTGAGAGAGGTGCAGCATAGTGAAAAGCCTTTAGCACACTTGCCGCATTTGGACACAACACTGCACCTGCAGCCTGCAAGCATTGGGGCATGCCATCAAGGCAATGGAGGGATGTACTCACGCATAGGGGTTGCTTCGATATGGCAAGGTTCTGTTGTGCTGGCGGACCTCCCGACTCATGCTGCCCAATGCCCTTGAACAATCTGAGTATTTCATCATCTGGAACAGTCACAGCTTGATGTCAATTGATTGACTGGGTAGACAGAGTTGCCAAACCTCAATTCTCAGCAAGGAGGGACACTGAACAAGCCAGCAATCAGATTGCCCCCCAGCTGTGCACAGCACCGTCTGGGTTGTTGTATACACCTGTGATTCCTCCCTCTCATGTGCAAGGTTTCTTGCCCACTGCTCAATTCTGTGGCATGTGACATCCCAGTGCCCTTTTTGTCTGACGTCGATTGATCACCTCTAAGAATTGTGAGAAAAAAAAGCTTCTTTCGCACTCGAAAGCCAATACAATTTCACAACATTCCTGCCTGGAAGGAACATCCCCATTGTCCAACCTGCGTTCCTTTCTGCTGCTGAGCAGTCCTCACCTGATCTCTTCCAAAGGCCTCCTTCGCCTTGCGCTCCCACGCCGCCGGACCGCACCGCCGCTCCTGATACCATCGCCGGACGCCGATGAGACGATTGCACATCAAAGCGCCTCCCCCGCGGCATCAATCGGCCCCCGCCTCCGCACCTCTCCCCCACAACCCCACACCCCCTTCCAGTCCCCGCAAATCTCGGATCTCTGCCCTGCGTCCCACCGTGGGCCAAATTCTCCCCGCCTTCCTCGATCCCATCGCAATTGATGATGTACCCGTCGATGAATCCCAGCCCTTCGCTATTGGGCTCGATCGCCACTCCCCCGGGCACCCGCCCGCCTCCTAGCCGCTCCCCAGACTCGGTGATCAGCTTGGCACCTCGGCCACATTCTGTCAATTCCAGGAAGCCGTCGTGGTACACCTTGTGCTTGCGCGTCACGTGTTTTGTGTACAGAACCCTCAGGCGCATCCCGCGGCCCGCTGCCGCCGGCATCTCCCTGGCTGATGCCGCTCGATCGCCCTGTGCTTGGGTTGTGGAGCCCTGCCCCGGGAGGGGCGCCGACTTCGCCGAACCGCAAGAACTCCGAACTCTTGGCGACAAGCGTGGGCAGGGAGGGTGGAGGCGCCCCAATTGGGCTGAAGGCCGCCAAGAAAGCTGAACGTTCTCAGGGGATTTTCAACCGAAGATGAGAGCGGCATGAAACGGTGGCTCCAGAGGCAATTTTGCCGTTTCATGCCCCGTTGGGGGTCGACGCCTGGGCCCTGGGGCTGTGCCACCTCCCCGATGGCAAACGCATCGCCGCCCTGGTCCACGTCAAGATTCAATCGTGGCGTCCGCCGCCGCTTGTGCAGAATGCCACACGGACTTCGGTGCGCAAAGCGGAGGTGGGTGATTTCAGCGCGGTCGCCGGCTCGAAGACCGGGCTCCGAGGACCAGGGCAAGGGGCCTGGGCAGTCCGGTTCGCGC